CTCAGACAATACTAACTCTGCAAGGACAGATTGACTTGCTGACAGCAGAAGTACTTCAAAACAGATGAGGATTGGATTTCCTTATAGCTAAAGAAGGTGGCTTTTGCATCTTTCTCCAGGAGGAATGCTATTTTTATGTCAACCAGCTGGGTATAGTGAAAGACAAAATCCAACAACTTCAAACAAATCTACAAAAGTGAAGGGAACAGCTCAAGGCCTCTAGCTCTTGGGTCTTTAAGAACCTCCTATGGAAATGGATTCTGCCCATGCTCAGACGTCTTTTGCTCATCTTTCTACTTCTGCTTTTTGCACCCTGCTTTATTAACTTCTTTTCTACATTCCTCCAACAACAAATGCAAAAAAAAAAAAAAAAAATCTCTAACCCAACATTAATCAGTTACTCTTATAGGATTATCAACCTCTGCCCACAGAACTGGTTGGCAATGGCCTTCCAATCAACCCTGATGGTGGGGACCAGCTGTACCCTGAGAATGACAATGCCCCTAAACAGCAGGAAGAACACAAGTTGCCCCTATGCCCTACCCATCATCACCTCCTTCCTAGTTCCTCACTTTTTAATTAAACAAAGAGGGAAGAATGTTGGGGTTGGTAAGCGGGCATCTCTACAGCCAGCCCCAGGGAACCTGACAAACGGGACATCAGGCATCTGTGAGGCCACCTCCAGAATCTGCAGTGACATGAGCACCTGCGGACCACCTGCAACCACCTGTTCCTTCTGCGCATGTGCTGGGTCACCTTATAAGAGGACTCGCCCCTCCTTCTCTCTCTCTCTTCCCCCATCCTCACTTTGCCCAGAGATGGTCTCTGTGACCCCCCCTCTTCCCTTAATATAACCTCCCATGTGGAACCTGTTGTGTGGTGTGACTTATGAACCCTCTGTATAACACCACTGATCCTTACACTTCTCACTTCTGTGACCTTGTTTCTGGCTCTGGGTAGACAAACCAGGCATTCCAGGTACCTTTGTGCCTTCTAGACTGTGCTCAGCTTGGCTGATGTTTTTCTACTGGTAGCCATATGATTTCTTTAAGCCCCCACATTCTCAGGCCTTTCCTCAAAGTCATCCTCCTGGACAGGACTTCTTTGGCCTGTTTCAATGCTTGGAGGTCTGGACCTCTCACTCCCAGGTAGAGCACTTACCTAGCATGGTCAAGGCCATGGGTTTAATCCCCAGCACCACACAAAAGCTAGAATAAGAACATTTGAAACTGCAGTTTGCCCTTTGCTCCCTAACAGTCCTTACCTTATTCCTGTGCACACATGTGTCTATTTCCTGCTTGTGGGCACTGTGGAACTGTTCAACCTGAAACTTTGTATCTTTCATTTAAGGTAAATTTTCTTGAATTATTTTATTGATGTTTTGCCACCTTTTGGTTTTGTCTTTTATATGATGGACTGTGAATATGGGTTTTCTTTAAAATATATTTAAATGTTTTTTTTAAATTGATTGGTTCTTTTTATAAAAAAAATAATTGTACCTTTTTGGCTCTGACTTTCTCTGAGGTTGCCACAACTCTGCCTTGAATTTAGCTCTATTGCACTTCCTGGTACCCCTTTTCTCCTTGAATTGTACATTTTATATTTTTAGTTGCTCAGCCTGCTCCTTTTAATTACCGATTTGCACAAGAGTGAACACTAGCAACCACATGACAGAGTCAATACTAGTCTGTTTTGAAATTTCCTCTGCCAAAGCAACTAATCCAAAACTTTTTAATTTAGCCTCAGGCAGGCTTTTCAGATAAGGGGTAAAACCTGCCACATTCTTTGCCAAAATATCACAAGAACAATCTCTAGGCCCCATGTCATGAGCCAGGCCCCCACAGTTCAAATCACCCTCAGCACCACTGTCTTCCATGTTCCTACTAGGGTGGCACAGTAAACCATGATTAAAGCACTACACTGCTTTTCTAATCCAAAGTTCTAAAGCCTACATTCCTCCAAACAAAAGCATGGTCAGTCTATCACTGCAATACTCCAGTCCCTGGTGCCAACTTTGTCGTAGTTAGGGTTACTATTGCTGTGAAGAGACACCATGACCATGGCAACTCTTATAAAGGCAAACATGTAATTGGGCTAGCTTACTGTTCAGAGCTTTAGTCCATTATCATCATGGCAGGAAGCATGGTGGTGGGTAGGCAGATTTGGTGCTAGAATTCCACATCTGGATTGGCAGGCAGCAGGAAGAGACCCCAAAGCCTACCCGGACAGTGACACACTTCCTCCAACAAAGCCATACCTATAGCAACAAGGACACACCTCCTAATAGCACAGCTCCCTATAGACCAAATACTCAAACACATGAGTTTGTGGGGGCATTCCTATTCAAGCGATTACAAAGGGCCGAGCGTGCAGCGTCTCAATTGGTAGAGTACTTGCCCAGCATGCACAAAGTCCTAGGTTCAAACCTCAGCACTACATAAAAACTGGGTGTGTTGGCTAATGCTGGTAATTCCAGCACCAAGAAGATAGGAACAGGGTGGTCAGAGGTTCAAGGCTATCTTTGGCCATATAGCAAGTTCAAAGCCAGTTTGGGCTACATGAGATCCTGTCTCAAAACAAATATATGTGTGATGTTTTTATGACATTCTAGTAGGGCTCCAGAAATGAATGTGCATCTCCAGTCTGCCGCAGCAATCCTTCAGTGGAGGTGTTTAGCACGATTTAAAGTGCTAAGACCGAGCTGGGTCAGTTCACTGGCCTCACACTGAGAGCTAATTTTGGTGTCTCTTAGAATACTATCATGCCCTTGATTTGTCACCCCTGAAATCTGAGGGGTTAGTGGCTAATCCAGTCAGAGAACTGTGATGCTGAATTGATAAGAACACAGAGACTGTTTTATGTATAATCACTCTGCATTAAGAAAGGAAACTTAGGATCCATAATGTAAGTAGATCAATTTGTGCTTTCCAGGCATGTGTTGCAGCTTCTGTCTATGGAGCCAAGGCAAGCACTTAGAAAAGCAGAGTGCAGATTAAAACACATAGACACAAACATAAACACACACACACACACACAGACACACATGTACACACATACATACACATATATATACACACATATACACATAGTACACTATACACACACACACACAAACAGACACCCTGTGCCATGCTCATGAAGTGTTAAGGGTCTTTTGTTGTTTTTGAGACAGGGTTTCTCTCTGTAGCCCTGGCTGTCCTGGACTTATTTTGTAGACCAGGCTGGCCTCGAATTCGAATTCATAGAGATCTGCCTACCTCTGTCTCCCAGAGTGCTGGGATTGCAGGAGTGCGCCACCACGCCAAGCTGTGCTAGGGGTTTTAATGCGCCTGGTTATTACAAGCCAGGCCCAGACTTTCTTTTTGTTTTTTTTTTTTTTTTTTTTTTTTTTTCATATGTATTGAAAGCGCTAATCATTTCAGAAAGTTAGAAAGTTAGGCCAACTTGGGCTTGAACTGTGTAGTACTAATTACAGCCTTAATGGTCCCATACCAGACCTCCAGCATTAGGGTGAGTTTGACCCCTGGTATAATTGTTTTAGGTATACTTTTGACCATTTTTATTTATATTATTACTTGCTTACTTTGGTGAGGATACAATATGGTGTGTGTTTGGAGGACAAAAATGGAAGCTGTGCTAGTCTTCTACTGTATGGTATCAGACTCAGATTGCCCAGTTTGGTTGCACACCTGTGGAGCCATCTCTTTACCCCATATTTGGTGGTTTAATTGAACAAACATTATTAGCCACTAGCTATTGCTCAGGTGCTGATATGTAGCTACAAAAGCTTGTTAACACTTCATTTTTGAAGCAAAAAAGCATTTGGGTTTTTTTTTTTTTTTAATCTCTTATGAAAACCTATACAAATTTAAGATTGTTTTACTGATAATGAGAACGTTGGCAGTCCCGGGGAAAAAGTCACTTCCCTCCACTTATAGCAGGCATCATACTTTTTGCCCAACAAGGTTTCAAAGTGTTGTGTTCTCAAGTTAACCTGTTTTTGTTATACTGACACTAGTAAATAATTCATAGTATTTAATATCTGCTCCTTCCTGTAGTCTGGTCAGGTCAGACTTCTGTTTTGATGTGTTCTTAAAGCAATATTTACTTTATGTATCAGAGAGCAGGATGAATACTGCTAGCATTCATGGCTCTAGTTTGTACACGACCATCTCTACATTTAAAAAGTATCTATTATTGCCTTACAAATCAGTATACAAATTACTAAGTCTAAACAAGTCATCTTGAAGCTAAGGGAGTATTCCAGACACATTCATTAAACTTGGTAAGAATTTACTTACGGCACATTATACAAAGACATGGCTGTGTGTAACATACTCATAATAACAAACACCCATCACACATGGGTGGAGAGTGAATGCTCGGTGGTCGCATAGCTCCCTGACTCCCCTGCCTAGTCATGCGTGGTTCCTAAGTTCACTCCCACAAGCCGGTCTTCCTCCTCAGCGGAACAGGGAATGTTCAAAGGCTGCATGGATTAAATGAGGCGATGCATATAACAGCACACAAACACTCACTGAACTGGTTACGAGTAAACTGTTATTATTTAGATGCCCGTGTGTAGCAGCCTTGATCTTAGCACATTCCTTAGACACTACCTCTTGCCAATGTTGAAGAGTTCAACTGAGGTACTGGTTTATTCTTTTCTATTGCTGGTGGTGTTTTTTCAAAACAGGGTTTCTCTGTGTAGCCCTGGCTGTACTGGAATTCTTTCTGTAGACCAGGCTGACCTCAAACTCATAGAGATCCACCTGCCTCTGCCTTCTAAATGCTGGGACTAAACACATGTGCCATCACTGCCCGGCCCTAATTTATTCTTTAGTTTCTAATTTTCTCCCGATTCCTCTAGGGTTTCTTTCATTAAGCCCAATGCTTTCTGTTGGTATAATTGTGCTAGGTGTCAGCCTGACCAGACCCCGATTTTGCAAGGTCTTAGAGGAAAAGTAACCTGTGCACCAGGGTCTAACTTGGTCACTCACCGGATCAAGGGAAGCAGGCCTAGGAAGGCTGCTCTTGCCATGTCCACTTGGGCCCCAGACAGGAAGCCATCATGCAGAAAATCACCTGAGTTCATCAGAATGCCGTATAAGGCACAGAGGTCACAGAGACGCTGGAGCACCTGCTGAATCTCCGGCTCATTGTCTAGTTTCTCCACAGCTTCCTTAAAACTCCTCACAGTGATGTAGTAGCAGTGAGCCTACGGAGACACAAAGATGCACAGGCTACCAACCGTCATTCCCAGATCCACAGATCATTCTGGAAGCCTGGCAAGGTGGCTAGAGTAGGTGGATCTTCTACAGACTGGTGTCTTGTTCACTCCAGGTCTGACTGAACCTTTTTGGTAATGTGAATGTGCGTGAGTGCGTGCAAGCATATGTGCATGCGTGTGCATGTCCATGTGTGTGCGTGTGTATGTGTGTGTGTGTGTGTGTGTGTGTGTTTGTGTTTGTGTTTGTGTTTGTGTTTGTGTTTGTGTTTGGGGCTGGGTTGAGTGTGAAACTGGGCCTTTGGATTTTTCATTTTGCTCAACTTCAAGAGCAGTAGAAAGTAGAAAGAACACAGGAATATTGAAGGGCGGCAGTCCCATTTTTCTGTCTAGCATGTCAGACAGCGTTTACACTCGGTACACCGGGGAATGACGTAAAGGCTGGAGGCATGTGTGACAGGTATCCTAGCTAAAGCATAAGTCCCTGGATGTAAGCAGTTCTGCTCAGTAGGCCATGGGTGAGGGGTGGCTCTGTTGGCTCTGAACCACTTAGTATAGAGCTGATCAAGTGAGGACAGTGACCTCTGCCCTTTGGACTCCTTTTCTGGGGTTCCCTCTCTCCTCACCCCAACAACTAAAGGATGAGTGCCTGCCCCAGCGGGAGGCCTTCAGGACCCTATTGTGAAATGATTGGAGTGCAGGCTGGTGCAGAGCACCTCCCTTGTGCACTAGGAAATGTGAGTTCTAGTAGGGATTGAGCGGAGGATATCAAGCAGCAGGTCTCTGCTCCGGAACTCCGGGAAGCTCCCGAGGACAGGCCTGGGCCTTTGTGGCACATGGGAAAGGAAGGTGTCGTGGCTCAGCGTTTTCACTTCTCTGAGCTGTGTGTCCTCTGCCTTAGACAGGATTCTGTTAGCTTCCCTCATGCTAACCAATGGAACTCTGGCAAGCAGTGGCTGGTCAGAGCAGAGATTTAGAAGACAGACAAGGGAACACTGGGCAGGTGTGGCTCCTTTCCTGGGATCTGAGGAGAGTCCTGGCTAACCCTCTAGTTGTAAGGGTCTCAGCACAGCGGGCAGTAGATTGACAGAAGCTCAGTTGCCCCCCGTAGCATGCATGATTCTTCTAGAATGAAGATCTCCTCCTAAACTTGGCAGTCTCCCCCTGCAAGGGAAAGAAGGACTAGCCATCTTACCATGCTCCATGCACCCTCCTCTTCCTCTCCCTGCTCTGCCTGCCTCACCCTTGGCTCAATTTTCCCGCTTCAGCATCCCCTCTGGAACATCTGCACTGCCTCCCAGGTAACCTGGCCTCTCCTTCCTACTCTGATACCTGCTTGCTCTCTTTGCTGGAAAACCTCTCCCAAGCTGCCACCACCCTCAGACAGCCAACTGCTGCTTGAAGCCTTAGTCCATGGACCCCTTTCTTTTGTGAAGTCCTCTGGGCTCTGCAGGGAATGTAACCAGCAGCTGTTGCTGCCTCATCCTAGTGCTTCCCTGATTATAGCTGTTTGTAGGCAGTACCTTCGCTGTTTAATATCCAGTGCAGGCACAGAGTGGATGCTCAAATATTTGCCGACTAATGGTGAAATATGCACAAACACAAAAGATAATGGAAATTGGATCAGACATCCTCGGATTGCCTGTGGGGCTAAGGGAAGACTTGACCTGCTTTTGTGTCTGGGAGAAGCTATTTGAACAACCTGATGCAAATCCAGTAGCAACGCCTCATTACCTTCTCCTAAGGGCTGCCAGCAAGATGCTTTGGAGTTAAGTCCTTTAATTAAAATTCTCTGGACTACAGCCTTGGATGTGAGATGAGGGTAGTCTCTGTGGAGCAGGGGTGGGGAAGAATGTGAACTTGAGTTTTTCTTAGCACGGTGGCCTGCCTGGAAAGAGAACACTCCCCTCACGGCTTTAGCTCACAGGCAGCTCACCTTGGCGGCCTGAAGGTGTATGACAGCAGTCTGGTTCCAGGCGTCATGCTGGTCAAGCCCAGATCTCATGAGGGACTGTGTATGGTGTACCGCATCCTTTATAAGCCTGGAAACCAAAGAAAAGAGCTTTAGCATCCTGAATAAGCAGGAAAGAAAACTGATGGGCTGCTGGGGTCTTTCAAAAATAGAAATGATCTCACCGACCTCTTACATGTCATAAAGCTAACTGCTTCATAAACATCTCTGTAAGGCATTCCCAGTTTACAATGAGAAAACCCAAGTCCCAGAGAAGTTAATTAACTTTTTCAGGGTCACACAGGTAGTAAGGAATACGGCTAAGATTTTTCCTATCCTTTTGAGATAGCCCAGAGTGCTGTATAGCCCAGAGTGACCTAGGACTTTCCATCCTCCTGCTTTAGCCTCCTGGGATTTTTTTTCAGCCTTAGGATTTCAGGTAACTTCAGGCCATTCTGTTGACTGGCTCCTTATGGCCAGACAAGGAGAATGTTTTTTTTCTTCAAAGGCTACTTCTATTTGCAAGTCCCACCTGAGGTACCTAATTACAGAAGCAGAAAACCACCTCCTAGTCCTCTGAGTTGCTGACTTGCTGACCTTCAGCCTCTTTTCCACTCCATCTGACCCTTGGAATATGGGTGTAAAGCAAACTGTTTATTTATTAAGCAGTGTTTACTCAGCTTTTTTAGGGGATTGCTAAGCACACTGAGTTCCAAGCAGGGAGAGGTAGAATGGCATTTTAATTCCCCAGCAGTCTGCCTTTCCCTTTCCCAGCCTTTCCAGCCACCTTAGCTCTGTGTGTCCTGAGTGTTTATCAGGCTAGTGTACTGGGTTCCCACTTAGGAATGCAGTGCCCAGCAGACTGTAAGCATTTAAAAGGATTGTAGAATGAGTAAGCAAATGTCTCAAGTTTCCAGTGATTCTAAAATAGCCGCTACCTCCCTGGGACACCGGTTGGAACGTAAGCTTTCTTAGTGTATGCTGGAAATGTTTCCTCCAGTTTTTGGCATTCTGGTCCGGGGCTGAGTTCAGAAATTTCCCCTGTAGGTAGTTACATCTCTTCAGCGGTTGTGGTTGTATTAGAGTGTCTTCCTTCCCAGCTTCTGGAGCATTCAGTCATTCCTGACACAGTTGGTATTTGGTGATATTTATTAAATGACGAATGTGCAAGTTTGTGTTGTTGTTTTAATAGAATTCATGTTCTGGGTTGGAGAGATGACTCAGCAATTAAAAGCACTGGCTGCTCTTTCCGAGGACCCAAGTTTGAGTCCTGGGATCTGCATGGCAGCTCACAACTTTCTGTAATGCTAGTTCCAAGAGATTCAGTGTCTACTTCTGGCATTCGTGGGCACTGCATGCCTATGGCGCACAAATATGCATGCAAATAAATAATAAAAAACAAATTTGTAGTTGGGTGTGAAGGCACACACCTTTAATCCAAGCACTGGGGAGACAGAGACCAGCTGGGATACTACCAGCTACCCAGGACTCTGTGAATTCCAGGCTACCCAGTTCTGCATACTGAGACCCTTATTCAAGTAAACAACAACAAATAATACATGTTCTTTTAAAAAAAGATTTATGTATTTTTATATATACGTGCTTTCTGTGGGGTTATGAGTACCACTTACATGCAGGCACCCACGGAAGCCAGGAGAGCGTGTCAGGTCCCCTGGAACTGGAGTTATATTGTAAACTACCCTATGTAGTGCTAGGAATCTAAGCTGAGTCCTTTGCGAGAACAGTAGCATCTCTTAATCCCTCTAGCTCTGAGTCCTTGGTTTTGATCATGTTCCTTGGACTCTACCAGAGCATGAATATAACCCAGTTCTATTCTGAGGTATAATCACATTTTTGAAAATTACTTCTATTGTTCATTATTTATTTACTATGTATTATATACATGTAATGTATGTGCATGCATGTGTGCAAGTAGTGTGTGTGTGTGTGTGTGTGTGTGTGCTGGGGGCACATGCACTTTCATAGAGTCCAGGAGGATATCAGAGATCCTCCTTCATCACCCTTTAATGTATTCCCTTGAGGCAGGGTCTCTCAGTGGTACATGGAGCTAGGCTGGCAGCCAGCGGCACAGGCATTACAAGTACTCTTAACTGTGCCTACCTATTGTACACAGGTGCTGTGGCAATAAACTTACCTCTGAAAAGTACTTTTAGATTGTGGGACAGTTCAGGCTTAAAGCACTACTTTACTTGTTTTGATTTGCGTGTCATTTCCTTTACAGTGATTTGCATCTGAGTGCATTTGTTATATTGCAAATCACCATAGGAACCTAAAGGTTTAAGAAATTCCTCTCACAGGTGATAGAGGTGACCAGGATAAAGAAATGATGGTGGTCGGTGGTTGATGGCTGAGGACAAGGTGTCCCTTAATCTACACCCACAGTGATAGGAGGTGAGAGGTCTAGAGAGGCTCAGGATGCCAGTAGTTTGTAGAACACTGTCTTCTGGTATCCCAGCTGGTCCTAAAGGTCCTAGTGTGGGAAGGTCGCTCTCAGTTGGATTGCTGACTTCTCAACACTAGCTTACCTGGCAGACACATGTGCCCAGGCTGTGGTATAGATGTTTGGGCAGAGGAAGTCAGCTGCTGTCTGGGCTGGGCACCTGGATGGCCCTGGTGAGGCAAGATACATGACAGACTGAGGGAGAGGCTTCCGTGATGTGGGGGACGCCTGAGCCTGAAGGTAGCTCTTCATCAGAAACCTGGGGGTGAAAGTAGAGACAGACGAGACAGCGTGAGACTCGGTGGGAACCCCACCCCCAGCTTCCCTCCTTCCCAGGGGCATCCATTTTCATGCTGTGGTCCTGTGAGGAGAGCCAGGGCTCCAGGCCCCTGCCCAGACCCTTCCCAACAGTTACTCCTCACTCCAACACCTACACCCCTATCTTCTGTAGGATCCTCAGTGAGGTGTACCTAAAGTGCTAGTTTCTTTAACAGGTGACAGGGGCTGCAGAGCTGGGCCAGATGCCCTTAGATCCTAAACACAGACCCTGTGAGGCTTGAGCAAACAGAAGCTTCACCACCAGGGTCTTCTGACTCGGGACTGAGGACATAAGTACATAAGTGGCCTTTCCAAACTGTCAGACATAGGAAAGAGCACTGACATGAGGAAGAACGATAGCAACTCCAGCTGCTGCTGTGAGGCAATCCAGAGGTTACAGGCTCTATGCTCAGACAACCTCGGGCTCCAATCATGTGAATTTCTTGTCAAGTGCAGGGTACAGGCTGCTTAATGATGCTCTTGTGTTGTTTCTATAACTTGAAAAAGAAAAACCCAGTAAAGGCTAATTGTTGAACTTGCCAGTGAACTCTTTTCTCCTTGGATGTTGAATATCTGCTCTGTTTATTCACCAGAAAATAAATGAGTAAGAGAGAATTAACCATCCGAGACAGCTGGCAAGAAACAGCCTGTTTGGAGGAGGCCAGTGTGGCTTCCTCCTGCCTCTCAGGGTGGAGCCCATTTTGTGCTAGCTCTTGGCTTAGGAAAGTGCCTGCTCTCAAGAAAATCCTGGTTTAGCTAGGAAGTAGAGCTAAGAAGCTAAGCAAAAAGTTGTCTACAGACAATTATGGATTGTGATAACTTCTAAAAGACATATGTGGTTTTAGGTGGCAGGGGTCAAGGGTACCATGGAAAGGCATGTGTGGCCAGCAGAGGCAGGAGGACCTGAGCAGGTTGGATATGGAGGCAGTATCTGGGTCAGAATGACTCAAAGAACATGGGGTATACTGTGGTGTTTTCCTTCAAGTAGGGGGAAGCCAATGAACCATTTCAATCAAGACAAAGATGTGATTTTTCTCTGGGCTTTGAAAAGAGCTCCCTGGTTGCCTGTGGAGAAGTGGGGACAAGGAGAGAAGCAAGAGAAAAGGGAGGAGCCTGATGCTGCTACCTGGGTGAGACAGAGGGATGGCCTGGCTGGGAACAGCAGAAAATGTGGGTTAAGTGGGCAGATTAGGGGCACACTGGGATTTGGACAGCCCTCAAATGGTACTTTCCCAAAGCTTACTTCCTCCACGGGCACAGACAGAAGCCCTGGTTTGAACACAAGCTTAGGGGGGTCCCAAGGGTAGGGCAGAGGTGTGGAAAACTCTAGACTTTACCTGGCCACTTGCAGATAGAGCACCGTGTTCTCACCCTCATACGTGCAAGAGGCTATCACTCCAGTGACCAGTGTTGGCAGACCGCTCAGCTTTGAGTAGCCATGACCACCGCAGGCCCTGCGACATATCTCTGCCCCCTGGGCACAGAAGTCTGAAAACATGGCCTTCATACCAGTGCTCAGTGCATGGAGCTGCAAAAACAAAGTAGTAGAAGGGTCCTGTAGAGCCATCCAGGCTTGCTGCTTAGTGTCTGCTGCATGCTGGCCACAGCTGTGAGGTTGGGGCCATGCTTAGCTTGCTGCTTCGTGGGGTGTCGGACAAAACTAATAGTTAGAGGCTAAGGGTCGTTCAAAGTCGCACAGTTAGGTAGTGTGGCCATGGTTGGAATGAAGGAAAATCTGTTCTAGCCAGCATCTCCAGGATCTTCAGAAAAGAGGCCTTCCTGGATTGGGCACCCCATCCTGTAAGAGTCACAGGAGCTTGCCAGTAGGCAGAAGTTTGGAAAGTGGTCAAAGAAGGCATGAGTCTATCATCAGCCCATATCCAGAGTTGTATAGGAGGGCGCCATGGTCCAACTGTCTACCCAAACTCGTGTTGAAATCTAAACCCCAAACAATGGAGTCAGGAGGTGGACCTTTGGTAAGGATTAGGTCATCAGGTGAAACCTTGGTTTGGTGTTAGTGGCTGCAATGGCTGGACTATCTTTTCCAAAACTTGCATTGAAATACAATTATACAAGTGCTGCCTTTGAAAACTTCCATTACATTTCTCTTTATCCCTTCCTCTTTCCTGCCTTCCTCCCTCCTCTCCTCTGTGCGTGTGTATGTATGTGTGTGTATGTGTGTGTGTGTGTGTGTGTGTGTGTGTGTGTGTGTGTGTATGACCACAGTGCAAGTGTGGAGGTCAGAGGATGACTAGCAGGAGCAAATTTTCTCTATCTACTCTGTGGGTTCTAGGTATGTAAATCAGGTCATCAGGCTTGGCAGTAAGCACCTTTCTCCATGGAGCTGTGTGGCTGGCCATCTGAACTGTTTTAAGAGGTCATTGGACTATGAGGGTTCCTGGGTCATGGATGGGTTAATGCTGTTGTGGGACTGAGTTCCATATCGTGGAAGTTGCTTTGTTATAAAACCACATCCTCTTTCTCGGCGTCTTCCCACTCTTTTTCTTGTCATATAATGTCCTCTGTCATGGTCTCACACAGCAGGAAGGCCCTTTCCAAACAGCAGCACCATGACAGAGGCTGGGCATCTCCAGAAGTGGGAGAAATTAATTTCTGTTGTGTGCAAGCCACTGAGTTTATAGAAGTTTGCTAGAGCATCTGAACAGACTAGGGGAAGGTGCCAGACAGCAGCCGGTTTAAGGTTCTGGTTCTTGAAAGCCCCTATCCATCTTCCAGACTTTCACACCCTTGAGAGAAAGGCCTTCTTTTCCCTTTCTACTTAAGGAAAAGGTTAATGAAGCAATGCTTTAAATGCACGGTGCCTACAAAACTGAAGGTCTCACCCGAGACCTGAGAGTACTGAACCGATGCATAGCTTGGACCATGGTGCTTTCTCTGGGCCTGCTATGTTTTTAGATTTTTGGAAGGAGGCAGAGAGTGCCTGTGTAGGTACATACTATGGTAGAGGACTCTGGGAAGCCTTGATTGTTGAACACATTGATAGTTCTGTTATGTTTGTGGCCAGAGGAATAAATCGGGTTAGTTCAGGTCAAACTGTGCCATCAAATGAGTTCAAGTGGCTTTGTGTGCAGCTGTGTTGGTTTCTCTCCCACATAAGGGATTGAGGGTCTATGTCCTCTCTGCTCACATTACCTCTGAAATTGTTGGAGCTCTCTAGGGGCCAGGTGTCTGTGGACCTCCATAATATGGCAGCTTCACCCTGATGCGTGGAATGTTGGGAGTGTGAGGGCTTATGGGAGCCAGGCTGTGGTCAGTTCCCAACAACTGGAGCAGCATTGGCCACCCTCCAGCAGTAGCTCCCAGCAAACAGGATGTACCTCAGGCAGGGGGCTGAAGTCCCTCTTCAGAATGGCACTGTAGGAGCTGTGGAAGAATTCCAAGAGGCTGGTGGCCGTGAAATGGAAGGCATAGCTTAGGGCGAGCTGAGGAAGGAGTTTTTGCTGCTGTGTCTGGTAGTCCAGGATTTTTGCCTCTGGGTCACTGAAAGGGGCAAAGAAGCAAAGTTTAAAAATTCACTCCAAGCCGTCTTCCCATAGTCTCAACACTGTCAAAGCTGTAAAAATGGACTGTTGCAAGGCTGACATGAGGCTACTATGTTTTAAACCTCACCTGCCAGCAACATCCACAAACATATATATATACATGTTTCTATATATATATATGTTTCTATATATATATATATGTTTCTATATATATATATGTTTCTATATATATATATGTTTCTATATAAATATCCACAGCGTTTATGTACATTATCTTATGTGAAAATCTGAAAGGTTCTGACCTTCAAACCATCTGGACCCAAAGACCAGGTGAAGGGGTGTGGACCTGCCCTGCTGATGACTAGCATTCATGGTCTTTCCCTGTCTTTGTGTGCTTGCTGTGCTACAGGAAATGCATTGAGCTTAACAATCTATAGGTATGAACTTGTGCCCAAAGGAACATAAAAAAGGACCGGTGTCTTCCATATCCCCTAACATCTGTGCCTTCAGTACTTGGGACTATGTCCAGCATACAGAGGCTAGAGTCATGGGGTTGGCAAAGAGTGTGAATGTGGGAAGTCTCCCAAAGCTGATGGGAGATTGGAGTCCTCCTTACAGCCTTGGGACACCCTGCTGCCCAGGTAGAGACCTGAAGGCCAGCAGCAGCACAGTTACCACCTTCTTTTGAGTACACAGTCCTCCAGGGAAGATGCCATCTGCCTGGAATTCAAAAGCTCAGGCCTCACACCGAGGATTTGTTGGGTTTCCAGCAAATCCTCTGAAGAAGGGCCTCTGAGACTCAAGCTTGGCAGCCTTACCATATTTCACTCTTACCACCACCCTGAAACTCTGCCCCTGTTACCTTTATTTTACATACATAGAAGCTGAGGCAAAAAGAAGTGCATATGTCCAGGTCAGCCTGGCATCTACTCTGCAGTGTGTTCATGGCAGGCTGCAGTCCATGCCTGGGGCCATTGGCGTGAATAACACCAGGTCCCAGGGATGGGTATTTTCAAGTTTAGTCCTGGTGACCTCACAATTCACAGGTCGGACACAGACCTGAGAGGGCCTCGTTAAGCCCAGGACCAGTGAGCAGGGCTGGGATGAAAACTGTTTGGTTTTTTCTTTTTTCATCACCACTGGCTGTTAGACTGTGACACGCTCTGCCCCTGCATCCTGTTCTCACTATAGTCTGCTGCATCTTGAGAGTGTGTGCTCATTTGGGACATATCCTAAAAGACTGTTGTTTCCATGAAATTTAAATTTAACTAGTGCATTAAACACACACGCTCTGTGAGATATCATATAGCAGACCTCGGCATTCTGTGTCATGGAATGGAGGGGATGGGAATCAGGCACAACAGACAGTGAAAAGAAAGGGCCTGGTCTCAGCTTCCTCACAGCCAGGCACTGAGAGTTTCAGCCAGGCAGCATGAGTTTAGCCGCATACCTTCTAAGGCAGTTGGCTTTACCACACACAACCCGACAACAACCAACCAGTCTTGACAATTGGCAGACACAAAGTCACTAGCTAGTCACAGCCATGTAGGACAAACTGGAACTCAGCAAACAGCCTGAGTCACAGCAGATGGTGCAGGGTGGAAGGCATGGTCACACAGAGCCTGATGGGGCGACACAGTGGTAAGAGACAGGTTAGGCTAGACAGTCTGGCCGTGGAGTAAAGGACACCAGAGACCCCCGTCAGTACTGCGTGTGTGTGTGTGTGTGTGTGTGTGTGTGTGTGTGTGTGTGTGTACATGCGAGTGAGGCTTGCTCTCCAAAACCATGGCTCTGCTAGAGGTAGCATCAGTGCAGAGACTGTGGGACATCAGTGCAGTGTGTCAATCATGTCTGCCAGGGTCAGCCTTCTGGTGCTCCTTGCCTAGGCCGAAGACGAGACTGGTGGCGGATGACTGAGTAGCGCACAGCAATGACGCAAGACTTCTGGAAGAAGGGCAAGATTGCTGTAAACAGCAGCCACACCCGTGTCACCAACATGGGAAGATAATTGCTCTGTGCTGTCCCCAGCCTCCGGTAGGTACCATCTGGCAAGACCTATGTGCAACAAAGACAGGTGCTGGGTTGAGCCTCCATCCCTGCAGGCATCCCACCTCTGCTCACCTGAAGCAGACCCCTGGTGCAGCACGGTCGCTGACACATGAAAACGTTTGTGTGAGACACCTCAGAAGTCCCTGCCTTTTATACTTAAAGAGGTAAAGGCTGGCTAACTAGGACTTCTGCCAGCGTCTGGGTCATAGCTGTTCTGTAACTGATTGTAGGAAAGCAATAGGTTCACCCTCAGCTCCTCCCTTTCTGGGGGATTGCCTTACCACGTACCTCATGACTGCTCAGAAACCCAGTGCTAAGTACTTACACTTGGGGAGCCTTAGGCTTAAGGTGGCAAGATTTTTCCCAGCACCATTGGGCTTGGTTTTATCCTGATCTGTGGGACTCCTGAGCGTCTTTTAGGGAAAGTGGGCTTGTGGTCCAAACACAGCTTTTCTGAGGCAGACCCGGAGCCTGTGGCAGCCATGTCAAGGGCAAGCCCCTCCCGACACAGTCTGGGTTCACAGCCATGCCAGACACCTAACCTCTCCAAAGCGACTGAGCATGTTCTCTCTGGGAACCCTCATGTGGTTCAGTCGCAGGAAGCCGTTGTCTACGTGTTCCAAGCCCATCTTGGGCCCTATGTCTCCAACTGTGATTCCTAGAAGAGGGTTGAGATGAGATGAGAAGGCCTGCCAATTGAGGACATGCAATGCCAGGCACGTGCATGCGCACGCACACACACACACACACACACACACACACACACACACACACACCATAGTACTCAGTCAGCAGGTAAGCAAGCTGAAGTCAGACAGATCGTGTACTAGTCAAATAGATCACATTAGCTCTGTCAACTGGATCCCTTCTAGCTAAGAAAGACATGACCTCGCTTCTTCTGTGCAACTCTTGGGGATGCAGGACTGGGCAGGTTGGTGGGACCATCTTCTGGGAAAGGTCCCCGAGGAAGCAGCAGGGCTTACCTGGCAATGGGGTATGGTCCTGTAGGCTCCGGATGGGCACGATGAAGGCATGCATGCCATGCTGGGCTCCTGAGCAGATCAACTGGGCTAGGACCACAGCATGGGTAACAGACCGTCCCACTGGAGCAGAAAGACAAGTGGCCCATCACAGGAAGCCCATGTACCATGCCTTGGCCCTGCCTGCTGAGCTTGAGGTTGCTGATAGACACCTTTGGGTTCTTGGAAAGTCACTGACAACAGAAGGAATTACTACAAAGAACCTAGCTAGAACAAAGCTAACAGTGATTTGGCAAGGGAGTTTGAAGTAAGTAAGCTTTTAAACACTTTCTGTACTCCCCCCCCCCAACAGCTAATGGACCATTCTGCTCCCAGCCCCATAATAAACACAACCATCCCTTAACAAAACCCAGATTTTGGCTGAGGGTGCCCTACTTCTTGCAGGGCACGTAAGAAGTCTTATTTTCTGGATAGAGAAACTGAGGTTCAGAGTACAGAGTGACACTCTGAAGGTTACTGGCCTGGAGGCGGCAGGCTGGAATTTAACCCCATCAGACTGATCTTAAAGGTGGGTTTCTTTCCCCTGAAAATTTGATACTGGTCAGTCATTCATTCACCTTTATCCCCATATTTTCTCCCTCCTCTTATCTTTTTCCTCTCCATCTCCTCTTCCTTCTCTGCTCTTTGCTGTCTTGTTTTCTCTGTTCTGTCACCTGTCCTGCTTTGGTTGAAGTCACATAATTTGTTTACTCCATTTCCACACCAGGCATTTTCTCACTGGGTCCCCAACTGCTACAGTAAAATCCTTAGACATGCTTTCTCAAAGGGGCCCTTGGCAGGACCCTGTCTTGGAGCACAGATATGGCTGCAGATACCCGGTGTCCCTGTGATGGGAGCTTGTCTGAGTATGGAGCGCAGGGGCACATGGCATGTGCTCTGGTAGGTGGCAAGCCTGTTGTTAACTTGGGAGGCTAGAACATCGGATATTGTGGGGAGCCCTTGGACAGGACCAGGTCGTGTGTGTCTGTGTGCACAAACGTGTTCGGGTGGGGGGCAGCGTAGGTGCTCTATACACACTTGAGTGTCTGCGATAGGGCAGTATGCATATTTTTGTGTACATGTTCTTGCATGAAGGCAGTGGGGATGTGTTGTGTACATATGTGTGTTATGTACATATATATATGGGGGTTGTGTGTGTGTGGTGTGTACATGCACAGGTGTGTCTGAGAACAGCGTGTGTGTGTGTGTGTGTGTGTGTGTGCATGCGTGTGTGTTGGGGGTTAGTATCTATATGTTTACGTCTATATGGTGTGTAGTGAGAATTCTGGTCTCTTGAAAAACCCAGTTATGCCCAAAGTTTGGCCCTGAATCTCAGCATCTGCTTTGATCCCCTGTTGGGTGAATCTTTTTAGGGGACCCTCTATAGTAGGCTCCCATCCTGTTTCCTCTATTCCACAGCTTCTGGTGTCTATCCTGTTTGCCATTCTGAATGAGATTTAAGCATCCTTTCTAGGGTCCTCCTTAGTGTTTAGCTTTTTAGGTCTGCAGATGGCTGTCCTATATTACACAGCTAATATCTGCTTAACAGTGAGTGTATACCATGCCTGTCTTTCTGCTTCTGGGTTACTTCACTCAGGATGAGCTCTTCTAATTCCATCCACTTGCCTGCAAATTTCATGATTTCCTTGTTTTTAATAGCTGAGTAGTATTCCATTGTGTAAATGTAACACAATTTCTGTATCCATTCCTCCACTGAGGGACATCTAGGTTGTTTCCAGATTCTGGCTATTACAAATAAAGCTGCTATGAACATAGCTGAGCAAATGTCCATATTGAATGATGGGACATCTTTTGGGTATATGCCCAGGAGTGGTACAGTTGGATCTTGAGGTAGTGCTATTCCCAGTTTTCTGAGAAAGCACCAGATTGATTTCCAAAGTAGTTGTACAAGTTTATACTCCCACCAGCAATGGAGGAGGGTTCCCCTTTCTCCACATCTTCTCCAGCATATGTTGTCACTTGAATTTTTGATCTTAGCCATGCTGATAGGGGTAAGATGGAATCTCAGAGTTGTTTTGATTTGCATTTCCCTGATGACTAAGGATGTTGAGCACTTTAAGTGTCTTATGGAGGAAGAGAGGGGTGGGATTAGAGGGACATGGAGGGGATAAGAGCCTAACAAGGAGAGCAACAAAACTAAAAGATCGAAGCCCAGAGGGTCCTGCAGAAACTGATACACCAACAGAGGAGCATGCATGACAGAATCTAGACCCCCTGCTCATATGTGGCCGATTGGCACATCTGAGTGAGGGGAGCAGGGGCTGCCTCTATCATGAACTCAGTTGATTGCTCTCTGATCACTCGCCCCTGATGATGCAGCCTTGCCAGGCCATGGAGGAAGAGGATCCAAGCAGTCCTGATGAGACTTAATAAGCTATGGGCAGATAGCAATAGTGTAGAACTCCTCCTTTCAGTGGACTAGGGGAAGGGGATGAGGGGAAGAGGGAAGAAGAGTGGGACTGGGGGAGTTGAGGGAGGAGGCTTCACTCAGGAAATATAATGAATAAGTTGTGAAGAAAAAAGAATTAAAAAGACAAAAAAACCCATTTACGTTATGTGAATATGTTTTCGTTTTAATCCCAGGTGTGGGATGTGGGGCTGCTTCAGATTGTCCACAGCCACTAACTATGATTTGTCTCGTGCGTGAGAAGGAGTGTGATTTTTGCCAGCTGCAGATAGTTTATATTTGGAATTCTGGGGACTCTTGAGAGGGTATAAACGTGGGAATCCTGAGAGGGCCTGTAGCAGCTACTGCTCTCCCTGCTACTGCTTTTGCTTATTGCTGGATTGCTGGTTGTAGATAATCTGACGACACCAAGGATTGCACTTTCAGCAGGAAGTAGTCTATAGAGGCCTATGTCCCCTTCCCCCTCTAATCTTTCTCATCTAGCTAGCGTTGGGAGGTAGGCAGGCAGCAGGGTAGAGAAAGGTTGTAGATATAGTTACCCAAGTAAAGTAACGCAAAGGCCTGGCTATAGTGGTGTCTATGTATGGGCAGTGTATACATTGTCTATAGGGACAATGCTTGTGTTGTGGGGCAGTGTGTGTGTGTGTCATCTAATGCGCACATGTCTATGGAAACAGCTCATGTATATTTGTGATTATGGGGCTCAGTGTGTGTTTATATGTGTCGTGTGCTGGCATATCTGTCTTTGGGGGTACTGTGTATGTTGTGTGCATGCACACTTGTGTGGTGTGGAGGCAGTGGTGTGCTCTTGGCCTCATTTCCTGATCTACTCAAAGCTCCCTTGGAACCTTCCAGTCACTTAGTAAGGAAATTCTTAACATCCTACCTATTTCAGCTGGTTTCAAGATGACGAGCCTAGAGAGGAAATCAACCCAACCTAATCAAAGTTAGTGCTCCTCAGCCCAGGCTTTGTCTTTGTTGTGGAAAGACAGGAAGTAGGAAGGAGGATACTCACAGTCCCCGGGCCACCACTTGGCAGAAGTTATTGTAGGACTGTGGATCACAAACTCCTGGGTGGCTGCGTCATAGGTGGCTTCAGTCTCCAGGCCCTTCAGGTATGTCCCTTGGGATCAAGGAGGAGAGTTAGACTATTGGGCCAAGGTGGGTACTCACTTGGGAGTAGCTTCTAGGTGGGCCTAGGCTCAGTGTGGAGTAAGGTCAGATCCTGACTGTACTCACTGGCCTTTCTCTCTTTTATCTGTGGGCTGTGTGAGGGAATAGGGATGCATGCTGATATTTCCAAAAGGAGTGACTTGCCCCTCTGGTGGCTCATACAGTGTTTGCATACACATTAGAAAAAGGCACTCCTTCCTCAAGACCCTTGACTGCCATCTGCTGGAATGTCTTCGATTTAGCATGCACATCTATGAGCTATGAATGGGCTCTCTAGAGTTGTGCAGTCTGAACACTGCATGCAGCAGCTCTGGCTCACCGTGTCCCAGCTCTGTCTGGGCATACGTTGCGATGATTTGGAAGTTTTTGCTGAGTTGGTCCCATTTAGCAATCTGCTCATCTGAGCCCAGGCTTCTGATAGCATTCATGGCAACACCATGTAAGCTGAGGTTGGTGTATCCAGAAAGGGCTCTGCGGGGAAGAGATACAGTAGATGAGTAGCCCCTGTGGAAGATGGGTCCATCAACCTTCAGCTGGGGTGCAGTGCATGAGAAAAGGGGCATCTGGCATCCTGGTGTTCCAGGAAGTCCTCCTTTGCTGAGGAAAATGGCTCATGTCATGGGGCTGGGTGCTACAGGCAAGCCTCTCAGGTGGGGTTGTCCTGGATGAGTACTTGTTAGCATAATTGCGTTCAAGTCCTCCTTCTGACCAGCCCAGACGCCGGGCCAGCATCTCAAGGTGGAATTTCTTTTGAACTGCATCCTCGTATTGCTCAGCATCAGTCATGAAGTAAACATTCCTCAAGTCGAACACTGGGTCAGCTTGGATGATGCTTTCTGCAGCAGAAAGAACAGGGGGCTTTGGTGTCTTGTATAGGTTCCTGACAACTTCAAAAATTTCCACCCACTTGCCTCATGGAATTGGAAAGAAAGTCAGCTGTCACTGTCACTTAACAATGATAATGAAACAATCAACCCCCCCCCCCCTTGCCCCCTGAAAGGAGAGAAAGGTGCTTCATCCACTCCTACGCTCTGGTGGAAACAGGAAGTATGTGGAGCCTCTGCTGCTTAGGTGTGTGGTGTCAAGGACCAGTTTGTTACTTGAAAGAGGGACTGGGCTTATAGATGGAACTCAGTTGGTAGAATGGGTTCCTAGAATGCTGAAAGCTCTGGGCTTAACTCACAACACTGGTTTCCCAGCACCATAGAAACCAGGCATGGTGGCCTACACCTTCAATTCCAGCACTTGGGAGGTGGAGGCAGGAGGATTGGAAGTTCTACATCATCCTTGGCTGCAGAGTGGTTTGGGGCCAGCCTGGGCTGCATGAGGCCCTGTCTCAAAACAACAAGCAGCAACAACAGAAAGGACCAGTAGTTAAAGAAAGAGCACAGAATTAGTTAACAGATTGTTGAAGAAAAGCATAAAGGTTCAAGGCCAGCTCTTGGCCTCCTGCCTCTGCTTACCAACTCTCCTCCTCAGCACAGTGTTCTGGACACTTCCATCAAGGATGCTAGTGAGCCGCTCCACACTGAAGGGCTGCAAGCGTCTTTCGCTGTCTATGTCGGGGTGCACTCGCCTGCTCCAGGTGTCCCCCAGGGATACTCGGTGCACAGGGCTCTCCATTCTGGATCTTCCCGGTGTATCAGGAGGGACACTTCTCCCCTTGCTGCCTTGAGGTTCTGCTCTGAGCACAGGTGCCGACAACCTGCGTATGAAGGGCATTGCTCAGGGTGGGCTCAGCCAGAGTTTTTTGTTATTGTTGTTTGTTTGTTTGTTTGTTTGTTTGTTTTTGACTACCTGTGATACTGCACCCCTGTCATCATGGCTACTGGCTGTGGCCCATACGTTGTTCCTGAGAGAATGCAGTCGGTGTTGTTCTGTCTGCAGTAGCCAAGGTCGGGATTGGTTTGACTACCAAGTTCCTACTCTACCCTCTGTAGCTTGTGTCACAGCCAGGGACAGCCTTCATGAGAAGTGAGCAGGAGCCGTGTGACTGTGGACGAGAACAGTCCTAGAAAGGTTGACTGAGTGGCTACTACCAGTGGAGGCCGAAGGCTCGCTGGAGTCCAACACAAAGCACATAATCTTGCTCATTCTGCATCTTACACAGGGGACTTACTTCAGTGACCCCATAGTCCCATTCACTTCATTTATCTCAATTCTTGTGGTACCTAATGAGCACTGTGGAGTGGGGCCTGATGTCATAGGCCCGTAACCCATCTGCTTGGGAGGCAGAGGTAGGAAGATCGTAAGACCTCAAAATAGTAATAGAATACGAGAGGTGGGGGGAGAACGGTGCTTGCTTAACATGCACAAGGCCCTGGGTTCAATTACCGTTCTGTAGAAGAGGATGAAGGGGAGGAGAAGGAAAGAGAGGAACCCTGTAAAAAGAAGGAAGAGGAGGAAAGGGCTTGTTTGCTCTCTGTCAAATGTTCCTTTGGATATGGGGCCTGTCTCCTTCACACAGAGCCCTTGGCCTTTAAGAAATGCCCATTCCCCACAGTGAATCAACCACTATACATGTCCATTCACTTTCTGTGAGCCCCCTAACCCCATCTCATCGGCTGCCACTCAGCCACCTTCACCTCTCACCTGGCCTCAGTGGCCCTAATCATTTTTCCTTTCCTGCTTATCCAGAAGGGAGTCTGTTTGCAGAAAGGAATTCTGGCGTGGCCACATGCTTCCCACCAGCTAGCCTGCCTCCTCTCACCTTACTCCAACCCCTCTCTTCTCCTGATGTTTGCTCCTGTTGTTCCCTGTGGCTGAGGCCCAGCTCCCCAGGGTTCCTAGTGAGCTCCAGCCTCTAGAGACCTCACAAAGCTCAATCATCCCAACAGCAGCAGAACTGGCCATCTCTCTGGTGCACTCTTGCTCCCCAACAGTGAGTGCTAGGAGGCGGCATTGTGTCTCCCTGATGCCAGAGCCTGGCTGTCTCCCTTCCCTGCTGGTTGTCATCTGCTCTCCTTTTCTTCATCCCCTGAGCCTGAGGATACAGTAAGGGCCCAGTCACTTCATAGAGATGATAGGACTAAGGAAAGGGGTACCTTTGTCAGGCCACAGCTCCAGGTAGGATTCTAAAGTGAGGTTGTGGAGTACTGACAAGTATCGACAGGGAGACCTTTGTCTGCTTGCCTTCCCGTGAGGTTGCCTACCTGCCTCCCCTTCTTGTCCCTAGCTTCCTCTATGCCAGATGCCCAACTCTCTAGCCTCTTGTCATGGCCAGCCTTTGCTAGGGCTCTTCCTCTGCCTGGACACCCTTTCCTTAGATGTCGCCATGGTTTTCACTGTATCCCCTCAGTGTCAGCCCTCAGTGAGGTGCCCTGTACCCCCTTTAACACCTCAAGCCCCCTGACCACATTGATGATCCTCTCTCTGCCCTAACTTTCTAACAGGCAAGACAAGTAAATCATTTCATTGTTATTCTTGTGGTCATCAGCTTCTCCTATCAAAGCCATGCTGGCTACTGTTAGGAGGGGCTTGTAAATAAGAGTGGATGCCAGAAGGCAGTACTCAGAGCCATTAAGGATGCCTAGGTTCCTTACTGACTGTACCTTTGGTAGGGTCTGTCAGCTCTCCTCCGGCTGTCCTGGGACTAAGTCCTTGACTGCCTCTGTCCCGGGCAGCTCTGTAGGCCTGGGCTGGCCTTTTCCGGTCCCGCCCCTTTCTCCTCCCTCAGCAGCGTGCGTCAGCCTCCAGTCTCAGCTAGGGATTCTTTGAGAGGCTAGGACCTAAAGCTGTGTTTCCTGGAGGCTTTCCACAGTGAAATCCTGGACCTGTACTGCCTGCAGGGAAGCAACTTAGTCACATCACATGAGCTGAGCAGACTTTCAGGTGCTGCTTCTGGGAAAGGAGTGCTCTGTGAAGTTAGAAGCTTCCTCATTCCCAGGCTTCAGCCTTAACTGTGCCTTGCCTGCGCCACACTTGCCATTAATGTACCCACAGCCCCACCCCACAACCAGCTCAGTAGCTGAGGAATACTGCAGTATGTTATGTAGGGTCTTGAGGAGAAACAGGTCTCCACAAGTAAGGCAGACTGAGAGCTTCCTTTATATCCATCTTATGTCCTGGAAGGTCAGGAGAATTCTTCATGCTTTGAGTGAAGAACTAGGTAATGCTATGTGCCCAGGTTATATAACAAATAAATCAACAACCCGAGACCTTTGCACCAGGTCTCAGGTCACAAAGATGAACTCTTACACCATTTGCACAATATTGACTTGTACAACATTGGGAAAGAAGCCACAAGCCCCCAGCAGAACTTCTGAAGTTTTATCATTCTGGCGTCTTCCTCTCTGGAGCCGAGCCCACCCTTCCCAGCTGTGCTCGTATGTGTGTGTGTTTCGGGGTGTGTACATGCATGCATCAGTGCGAGCACACTGAGGGATCTCCCAGCTCCCCAGTGATCCCCAAGGTAGTGTCCAGTTTGCTCTACAGAAGAAACAGATCCCTGTGACCCAGGGTTTCCTAACCTGTCACACTGGAACGGTGTGGCTGGACCCCTGGCTGTCCCTCATGGCTGTTGGTGCTAGTTACACATGGATGATGGTTTTAGGCTAAGTAGCTTTAACCAGGGCTAGTGCGGTGGTTCAACAAGGTAAAGGTGCTTGCTGTACAAACCCGATGATTCCTGTGTCCCATGGTAGAAGAAGAGAAAAATGACTCTTGAAAGTTGAGCTATGACAACTACAAGTGCACCATGGCACAAGCTAACTGATGCTCTCACCCTCCATTCTCTCTCTCCATCACACACACACACACACACACACACACACACACACACACACAAAATACATAATACATAAATAATAAAGGTAGCCTCGACCTCACTGTTTGGCAATTCTTATCTGGCCTCTCCAAGCATTTGTGCCATCGTGGACCATGGGCAGTTACTTAATTTGCATCTGTTAGAATTTTTCCACATCTTAAAAAAATTCCAAGGTAGATAGATAGGTAGGTAGATAGATAGATAGATAGATAGATAGATAGATAGATAGATAGATAGATAGA